AGGGTTTAGGGTTTAGGGCATCCGTATCGATTGATAATTTTATAAGGGCGCCTTGGGGTTTCCTCAGATGTCTCTTGAGCTTCCGGGTTTCGGTTTTGGATCCTGCCAAGACCCCGGTGAGGGACTCTAAACCCTAAACTCCTACCCATAGGCCCCATAGTAGTTCCCTTTTGGGGTTGCCTTATAGGATTCTATATATGAACCCCAAAAGGAACTACTTTAGGGCCTTTGGGTAGACCATAAACCGTAAACTCCAAACCCTGAACTCTGAAATCCTGAACCCTAAACTCCTAAGCCCTAAGCCCGAAACTCCAAACCCTGAACCCTACAGCCTTCGACCCTACACGTGGCATCCGGCTCATACAGTACGGGCACCTTGGCATCCCCGGGCTGACTGGAACCAGGTCTTGGATGCGACGACAGCAGAGGCGGTTTCGGTTTTCTATAAGGGTTACTATAAGGGTTCTGTAGGGATCAGGGGGCTTTGAGGTTTAGGGTTTTAGGCTTTAGGATTTAGGGTTTACCCATAGTCTCCATTGAAGTTCTTTTTGCTGGTTTCTGCCATTGTTGATTTAGGATCCGATAATGTAAATATCGGCAATTCCAGCGGTACTGGAAGGAGCTGACGCTACTGGTCCCAGAGATCTCAGACAGTACCACTAACTGGACCAAAGTCATAACCATCTGCTACGACGTGCTGGAGCACCAGCAGGGTTGGCCACGCCGTGGTTTAGGGTTTAGGGTTTAGGGTTTAGGGTTTCACGGTTTAGGGGTTTAGGGTTTAGGGGTTTAGGGTTTAGGGTTTAGGGTTTAGGGTTTAGGGTTTAGGGTTAAGCCTCCGAATGGACCGTTGATGGCCAGTCTCGGTAGCCAAGGAATCGCACGGACCATGCATGCTCGTTCATGTGGCAAGACAAGGGTAATTCTCAAAAGAGGAGGCATGATTGGAGTCAAGGCGAAGTAGTGGAAGCTAATCTTCTGGGGCAGTATATGACTACTGGCAGGAAATTTACAGGTAAGGAAAATGCAATACCGGAACCCTCAAACTATGAGTTTGCTGAAAGCTTAGTCCTTTAATCCGAACCCGGAAGCCCCGCTGAATTACCACTGTGACAGCCTATATACCAACTATGAACCCTAAACCCTAGACCCTAAGCCCTTGAACCACAACTCCTCAACCATGGTTTCGGGTGTAGACTGCAACGTCTGCAGTAACCCTGAACCTCTTCACCCCCCCACCCCCCAGCCTTTCAAATCCTTCCAATATAGGGGCCTAATTACAACAGGGTTTTGGGGTATATTCTACTATAATTATAATGAGGAACCCCAAATAGTATAGGTAATTAACCCTCAACCCTGGAGCAGCAGGAGATCGTGGGGGAGGTGCCTCTGCAAGCGCTGCAGCCACTGGCCGAGAAGCATCGATTATGCCTTCTACTGACATTCGTTGTTTTTAACATCTAGCCTTCTTGGGGGGTATTGTAGCATCCCTATGTTATCTGCCGGAAACCTCCAGTTGTTCGGGGCAAACTGGACACGTAAGTTTATTGGGTCCCAGCTTTGCGGACGATGCTTCTCAGGTCACTGTTTTCGATCATTCAGACAGCCTGGCCTGGCACTTCTTGAAACTATTGGTGCACTTTGTTGGGGTTTAGGGTTTAGGGTTTAGGGTTTAGGGGTTTAGGGTCCTTAGAACAAGGCATTTATTGAACAAGGATCCTGCTTGGGGAGGTTTAGATTCAAAATCACTGTTCTCTGCAGGTCCTGTCTAAAATAGTCCCTGGGTTGGGCTGTCGGAAGCCGAGCGAGGTCACCTCTTCCTGCGCCCGCAACTTTGGGCAACTGATGGCGACAGGACATGTTGCCACGCCCCCAGCGATTCTTGGCCTCAGCATTCACAGTCGGCTTTGGTGATCCCCCTTGACCAAAGAAGAAAGTGCCCAATGAAACCCTCCACCCTGGAAAAGAAGCAAAGGCCTGTTGAGGCGCATAAGTATAGGTGTCCGGGTCTAGAATTTCGACGGCAGGCTAGAATAGAATTGTCAGGTCCAGGGGTTCATTGGTTCTGAATTTGGGGTTTCAGACGAGTTCCGCGGGTTTGTGGGAGGCATCATCTTGAGTTTAGGATGCGCCAAAGTCCGAAAAATCCAGGTTTCGCCCGGTTTTGCGTCACATCAGCTCTTCTTGACCACACTGACTTGGACCTGCGAGCTCATGCCCTCAAAAATATACGTGGGTGTAGCAGGGTAGTCTAGGTTGGTGCTGTTTGGGAGTAGATAATGGTTAGATCCTTGATCCCGTAGTGGTAAGGATACAAGGTTGATCAAAGTGCCTGCACTTACGGGCCGGGCATTCTAGATCGGCCCACCTCGAAGTTGTGTGTGTGAACAACTATTATGGAGTCTAAATGAATGCCGCGTATAGTCCGTATGTGATTTTTCTGTTATATTCCCAAAACCGTTTTTAAGCATCAAGGCCCCCATATGACAGCAGCATGATCACCTGGTGCTTGGGTCCTGTAAGACCGGCCTAACGAACACGACCGCCGACATGCCCCCGAATCAAAGACACCCTTAAAGTAACCACTATAGCAAATACACCCAAAGCCTAAGCCCGAAACCCTGAGCCCTCAGCCCGCAACCCTACTCCCTAAACCCTAAACCCTATAAGCCCTAACATCCCGAAACCTTAAATCCTAAACCTTAAGCCCTAGGCCCTAAACCCGAAACCCTAGGCCCTTAACCCTAAACCCTCTCAATTCAAGCACCCTGTCAATCTAGGACATTTTCAGGTGGGTAGGTACCGTTATAGGAGCCTTGTAGAAGACCTTATAGAAGCCTTGTAGAAGCCCTATATACCCTAAACTCCCTACCTGTAGTTTCCTTTAAACCCTAAACCCTAAACCCTAAACCCTAAACCCTAAACCCTAAACCCCAATCCCTTTCAAGAACCCGGCGAAGAGGATGGTCAAGCTCGCCTCATCGACCTCTCTTCCGGCAGGCCCGAGCCCAGAACTTCCGAAGCTCCTGGGTTAGGGTTGTTTTAGGGTTCAGGGTTTAGGGTTTAGGGGTTTAGGGTTTAGGGGTTCAGGGTTTAGGGTTTACGGATTAAGAAGTCTAGTTCTTAACTGACCTTATATGGTTTTGATTACTTATGCCGAATGCATACTCCTGAAGGAATTTAAGCCTTGAAAATTTGAGTGATCCTTCTTGTGGCTTACTGTTGTTTATTGTATACCCTGAATTAAGGAATGACCCTGGACTTGTATACGCCTGAATGAAGGAATAACCCTTAACTTCTTCTGTGATCCTATTCATGTTTTCTGAGCATTTATAGAGTCCAGTCCTGAAGTAATATAGGGGCCTTAATAATTACCTATACTATTTTGGGGTTCCTTATTATGCTTATAGTCTCATGCACCCCAAAACCCTATTATAATTAGCAAGGCCCCTAAACCCTAAACCTTTATAGTAGCCCTTATAGAACTCCTTCTAAGGAACCCTTTAAATGAACCCCAAAGCCCTATTCTAATTAAGGGGGTTAGACCTCTGGAAACACTGCAGCGATCAGGTCGGCGCTGCAACAGGTTTCTGTACCGAAGCGAAACATATGGGTAGTTGTCAAAATTATGGTCCCTGTTTGGGTCCTTATTATAATACGGCACCTATTATTTAGGGTACCCCAAAGGGACCATAATTTTGAAAACTACCCATATGGGTAGATTGCTCTACCGGGTTTAGGGTTTAGGGTTTAGGTTTTAGGGTTTAGGGTATGGGTAGTTGGGATCCGGCCTGGGTTGGGATTTGGAGTCACTTTAAAGGGTTCCTTCAAGGGGGCTAGATGGGTTTTAGAAGGGTTCTAGATGGGTAGTTCTCCAAATTAGGGTCCCCTTTTTAGGTCTTGTAACAAGGACCCTGAGAGGGACCCTGATTAAGAGAACTACCCAGATCTACCTACCTACGTACGTATGTGTAGATAAGAATACAGACACACGTGCATATACATGTATACATAGATATACATACACATCTGTACGTACACAGCACATTGGCTTCTATGCCTTGGTTGCATAGGTCTCTACTATAGGGATGATGTGATGGCCCCTAGAAGGGTCCTCATAAAGGCAGCATGTCCACTTAGGCTCTATTGCAGGTTTTTCTGTGCCTAACGTTGGTTGTTTGTTGAGGCTCAGTTTGTTGACCCAGCCTTTGGTTTGCTTGTTCCTATGGCACAAGCTAAACCCCTCGCTTCTTCGTGGCATTGGGGCTGTGATTAAGAAACTGTTTAGGGTTTAGGGTTTAGGGTTTAGGGTTTAGGGGTTTAGGGTTTAGGGTTTAGGGTTTAGGGTTTTTCTGCGAGGTTTGTGGGCGAGCTGCCGGAGCACCCGGATGTGGTGACCTCCGTGAGCCTCGACCACACCAAGGCAGCTAACGGCAGGGTTGAACAAAGGCGAGTTTTTTCAAAGGGTCCCATGGACCTATATAGTAGAATGTAGGGTTTCTATATTAGGAGTTACGCTTATGATTTAGGGAAGTATCCCCCATAACAGTACATGGACCCTTTGAGGTTTGACGTTGGTGACTATGTTCACAGTCGGGAGCTTCAGTCTCCACTGTAGTTAGTTGAACATTTTTTTGCATTTGGGATTCTATGAGATTCTATGAGGTAACCCCAAGACTAAGAAGGAACTACCATGGAGACAATTGGTAGGTCGTAGGAGTCGGTATCACCCTAAACCCTAAACTCTAAACCCTAACCCCTAAACCCTAAACCCTGAACTCTACTACTATAGTAGGGATTAGGATTCAGACTACTATAGTAGAGTTTAGGATTTAGGGGTTAGAGTTTATACAGGGTTTAGGGTTTAAGGTTTAGGCTATAGAAGCTTACAGAATTACCCATATTGTTCCTTACCCCAAGGTCTCCAAGTTAATATTCATACCATAACATACTCCAAAGCCCCAGTCCAATTGTTATAAGGCCCCTGTATATTGCCTATCTTTCGATCATGATCTCGAGCAAAAGCGTTTGGTGAGCGCAGGTGCTTTGCGTGCGCGCACAAACACACATAGCGCACCTGCGACTGGACATCGTTGAGTCACTTCTCGACCAAAGGTCTTTCGAGAACGAGTGTTTTCTGCATATACCGACGCACGCAGCTCAAATTCAGTTGGACAGTACTGTCCAGCTTCGTATAGATACGCATGGTTAGATTAGCTTAGCACATTCCGTGACTCCTCAGCCTCCTGAGCTACGTCTCAGTTGCAATATGAGACCCTTCCTTATACGGGGCATTGCAGCCTCCACACCCGTGTTGGAGTTTCTGAGATCCCACTTCTAACGAACCACTTAAACCTGACCCCTGCATGCCATTAATAAACCTTGGCGCTAAACACCTTGCATTTAGCATTGCAGATTGAAAACACAAAATTACATACAAGGCCTCACGTCCGAAGACAGAAGTATCTGAACGAACCCTAATTTCTTGCAAAACCGCTATGGAGCCCTCATACAATCCGGAAAGGAACCCCTGAACGCCCTCGCCCCTACAACCCCGCTGAGCCACAGCTGGTCTAAACCCTGAGCCCTGCACACCCTAAACCCTCCCTAAACCCTAAACCCCCTAAACCCTAATCCCTTAAGCCCTAAATCCTAAACTCTGAACCCTAAGCCCGGATCCCTAAAGACCAAAACCCTGAACCCAGGCGCAGCTCATCACCGGCTGCCACGACGGTGTCCTCCGGACCTTCGACCTCCGCAACCAGCGGTGTTGCCAGCAACTACACCTCCACGATCTGAAGTGACCCTTAGTAGGTTTTGGGTTTGGGGTTTTGGGTTTAGGGTTTTGGGTTTAGGGTTTTGGATTTTGGGTTTTGGGTTTGGGGTTCGTGTTTAGGGTTTTTGGGTTTGGGGTTCAGGCCTTAGGGTCCATTATTACTGTTACTAGTACTATTGATAACCGTAGTATTATTAGTATTCCTATTAGTACTATTATAAGCATTGTGAGTAGCATTGTTACTACTATTAATATTATTCTCGTTGTTGTGCTTCTTATTTTTACTAGTATCAGTTTCAGTACTATTATAGGATTGAGTGGCTTTAGGGTTTAAGGTCTAGTATCTAGGGCTCTAAAGGATTTACCTAGGCGTCTTAGGGCTTCGGGTTCCGAGAGCTTAGCGTTTAGGGATCTTAGGGATTTCGGCTTTGTAAACTTTAGGGTTAGGTCTTATAAGGGCGACCACAAGCATTGCTACCAGGGCATTTATGAGGGTTACTGGAAAGGGTACTTCCAGGGTTCTAAAGGGGTCTAGGGTCCATGGCTCAGGGAAATTGTTCAAGGTTGCTACACAGGTTGTTACAATGTAAAAGGTTTAGGGTCTTTTATTACGGATTACTAGGGGCTGTGAACGGTTTCAGGGTCTCCGGGTCTAGGTTTTGACGCGTCACTTTTCGGGATCTTAGTAGGCTTTTATGACACGGTCTTCCCTAACCCTAAACCCTAAACCCTCTTCCAGGAGGATTCTGTCAGGATGTCAGAAGGATCTGCAAGGCTTCGAAGTTCATGCGGGGGAAGTTACGGGTCGAGGGTTCGGGGAAATATAGGGGCCTTCATAATGAGAATAGGGTTTAAGGGTATAGTATACTATATTTACAGTAAAGAGCCCCCAAAGCCCTATTCTAGTTTTTAAGGCCCCTACATTATCTTGGTTGAGCTCTTGGCGCAAGGATGTTGTAAAGGCTATACTAATCCCCAGCGTATACCTGAATCGTTATTGCAACTCCACAAACCCTAAACCCTAACTCAGAAACCCTACAACTTAAGCCCTAAATGCCCTGATTCCTAAACCCTAAACCTAAAGACCTAAATCCTAAACCCTAGGCATCAATTGCCTCACCCACGACCTTCCGACTCTTTTTGCTCAAGGGGCCGGGGTCGGGCGCCTTGCAGGAAAGGCCACCCTCGCGCAGAGATCTCGGAGAGTCGAAGATCTGTTTTGGGGGTTTAGGGTTTAGGGTTCAGGGTTTAGGGTTTCGGGTTTAGGGTTTAGGGTTTGAGGGTTTCATACGGCTTTTGCCGTGTATAGGGCAAATTGTTGGGTTTAGAGGTTCGGGGTTTCATGTAGGAACCTGATTAAGAAACCCTGGCCCTATAACCCCAATATATTAGGGTTCATATTAGGAACCCCAATAAAGGCCCAGGGTTTCTGAATCAGGTTCCTACATTAGTAAGGCTTAGGGCTTAGGGCTTCAGGATGTCGGTTTTACGGCCGAGGAGGATCCTTGTCTTTTTTTATCAGGGCCCTGGGGCGTCATGCTAGAGAGGGTTTAGGGTTTAGGGTTTAGGGTTTAGGGTTTAGGGTTTAGGGTTTAGGGTTTAGGGTTTAGGGTTTAGGGTAGTCAGGCTTGAGAGCTTGAGAGCTCATGAGCCCTTCAGTGCTAGATTCCCAGAGACTCCAAAAGCCCTTGATTAAGGAATATACCCTAAATTATAATAGGATCCAATATCCCTTAATTAAGGAACATACCCAAAAGTATAATAGGATCCCTAATATGATTTATGGTATATTCCTTAATTAAGGGATATTGGAGTCTCTGGATTTCGAAAGACACCAAGAATGACCGGACCCTTCGGCGACAACCTCAGTTCCAGATCCAATCCGAAGCCATAAACTTGAACTTGAAACTCGAAGGAGTGGCTTTAGGGTTTAGGGTTTAGGGTTTAGGGCTTAGGGACTTGACCCTAAACCCTAAACCCTCGAAGGAGTCGCCGCGAGAGGAGGAGGAGGAGGAAGAGCACTATCAGTCCAAGACCTTGCCCAAGAAACCCCAAGCCCTTCTGCGCTTGGGATTTGTTTGTAGAAGCCTGTGCAAGCTACCTAGAGAGGAGGTCAAAGAGCTCTTCCTGCAAGTTTAAGGGTTTTGGGTTTCGGGGTCTACCTAGGTTTCAGGGATCCCTTAAACCCTAAACCCTAAACCCTAAACCCTAAAGCCGTAGCCATTTTGGCTCAAGCAGGACAGGTCTGGATCCTCAACGTTCCCCCTCTCTACCTTGATAATCTGCTCCCATGGCTCTCAAGTTATGGATCAGCACTCTCTTGTGTATGAATCAGGCGTGCGTTGTGAGTTCCATTCACCCGGAATGTTTGAGCGGACCACAGTTCTTCCAGAAACTGGTCTCGATTCTCGACGATTTGGTGACTCCTGAATTTGATTCGCTACCGAACACACCTTGCACCTGTCAGGTTTCTAAATACTTGGGTCAAGTTGCGAAGCAGTTGTTGCTGTCACACCCTGATAAGGGAGGTTCATCCGCAGCTTTTATTCACGCGTCTGAACTTTCAGTCCGTGCCCTGAAGGTCATTCCTACGACTTTATTCCACAAAGATCCACCACGGAATACCGTAGGGGCTTATCGAGTGTTGCTCACTGCTCTTCGCGAACTTTCTGTGCACTTCCATTCTGCGGCTTGCGACGATTTCTCTACCCCTCCTCCCACATCGCTTGCCGAGTTTTCTCTTGTTGAGGTCCCAGCACTCACTCGTGCCGTCATCGAATTCCCACCTGGGCTCATGTCTGGAGATTTGGAGGCTATTAACGTGCCTGCTCTTTCGCACATTTCAGGCGCTACTTCTGTGTCGCCTCTGGTTCATTTGGCTCCTCTTCCTGACGAGCCGCTTGTGCCCGCTTTGACGCTCGATGCTCAAGAGACTCGTGCCCCATTGAGTCCAGCCCCACGGCCTCAAATCCTTATTCCCGAGACGAGGCAGTTTGATTCATTCATCGTGCCTGAGTCTGGTGCGACTACTACGACTTCGCTCGTTCCACCTCACGTTGCTTCGGATCTTTCCCCGCCCTTTTACTCACTCCGTGAACATGATGAGACAGATTTGCTTCACATTCCTCCTGTGCGCCGTCATGAGCCTACGCCCGATTATCCTACATCTGGGTTCGACATTTCCATTCCGGCGTATGTCTCATTCATTGTGGCTGCTTTATCCACCCTACTTTTGTATCATGCTCGCGCTGCGCCGGTCCGTCCCGTACCTCCTCCGTCTCTCACTACGGAGCCCGTACCAGCACCGGTTGCTCCATCTCCTGCCCCTGTTCCTTCAGACGATGTCTCTGTCACTCTCGAAATTCGGTACATGCCATGCTTGAAAGCTTGCGTTGCATATGGCACGTTTATCGCTACGTTTGACACTTCTCGTGTGCCTAAGGACGTACTCACCGCATTTTGGTCGAGCCAGAAGACTCCCAATGATGTCAGTCAGGAGTTGGACATGCCTGCTTTCCTGACTGTCGTGCGCAACTACTTAGCTGCCACTGAGCCCATCCTTGATTCTCAAAAGACTAGCCCCCTTCCAGGTCGTGAGAGTCTCTTTTCTCTCTACCTTATTGGGGCAGCTGACATTGTGGTGAGACTGCTCAGCCCAGGCTTGTTTCTTACGCGCTATCAGAAGTTGTTGAATGAGCATTTCTCCCTTGCCGGACTTCGGCCTCACCGAATGCCCGAAACCAAAGAAAAAAAATAAATGCCCGAAACCGCAATGAGGTCCTTGTTGACGTGGCGGTTGAGGAGGCTGCGGACGCCGAGGAGGAGGCAGGTGATGACACACACCTTATGCAGCGGACGATGACGGATCTCGCCAAGGGCACGGTGCACGCGAGTGCGAAGCAAGACCGGGAACATTGGCTAGCTCGTCTTCGAACCCTTCAAGACTCCTTGGGCAGCCAATCTGCCGCCCTTCGCACGGCAAACTCCGAGGGCTTGCTTGCCAGGCTCAGCAGAGACCAAGGGGTGAGTGCCATGGCGCGCGAGGAGCTTGAAGCCCTGCTGGTAGGCATGCAAGAACCAACATGTGGTGATACCATGGCGGGGGACATCGCTTGGCAACTACAATGGTGGACCCGTCTCTTTGGTACTGCCGGGTCTGACGCAGCCACCGGGTCTACAGATCCGATGCCAGTGAGAACTGTTGAAGGCTGTGATGTGCCAGGGGACAAGGAGATTGAACAGTTGGCGAATGACGAGGCGGAGGCCAAGCAAGACGTGGAGCGTGAAAGGCGCCTGCGGGAGCGCCAACAGATGGAACAAGAAAAGTACGAGGAGGCCTATGACCAGCACTACGCCAAGCTCCTGGAGGAACACGAGGAGTCGGGTCGCATGTCTGCCCAGCAGTATAAGCAGTGGGAGGACTGGGAGTGGAACGAGGTGATGCAGGGACCGCCTCAAAAGAGGCGTCGTGCGGCCTTGCACATTGACATTGGAGGAGCTTCTGGGACTGAGGCTCCCTGGGTGTCAAGGTCGCTGAGGGTGCCCTGTGGTCGTGGCGGAGCTCTTCCCAGCCTACGCCTTGATCTACGTCTTCAGTGGGAGGACTGCCCGGATGACGTCGAGACAGTTCGTGCCTCCCCACCTGAGTTGCCTGCTGACAAACCGGGGCCGGGGACCATTGATTCCACTACGACTGTGATGGCACCTACGCCACCAGGTAGACCGGAGACCCAACCTGACGAAGACCTGGGTGTTGAAAGGCGACTTCCGGATGATCCTGGCCAAGCCCGGTGTGTGCATGACCGGGACACTCAGTTGGATGTGGAGCCGACGGTTGCGTCTGGTGGAGAAGAACAAGGTCTGCGAGGCTTGGAGTTCGGTGACTACGAGCGGCTCTATGATAGGTGGCGAAGGGGGACCATCTCGGATGCTGAGGTTGTCTCCATTGGTGGGGCTGACGTGCTTGAGCTCATGGAGGCACAGTTGGCAGTGGAAAGTGAAGAAGAGGAAAGCACGCAGCAGCT